AATCTTTTCAACCAAACCCAACTTAACCGTGTGATATTTCGGTCACTATGACTTTAATGTTTTCTTTTTCTTCTTAAATTGACCATTGACCTTTCCAAATTGATAATTTAAGACCTGTAAATTGACCACCTTTACCAAGACCGTCCGTAGCATGTTAAATGTGAGATTTTGAACAGGGCCTCCGAAATTTTGGGATCTAAATTTACATGTGTTTAGGGTCTTTTTATCGACTTGTGTAAAACTATTGACATAATTATTTAGGTTCAAACCATTAATCGTTTTAGGTTTAACCCATTTTTGTTCTTAACATATACTCTTTGATATCTGATTTATACAATATACTCAAAAGTTTTGGATGTAGCAGGACCTCCAAAAAGATTGGAATGTCCCTGACCTTTACATACAATCCAATGTTATAGTTTTCGTTAACTGTGAGCGTCTGGGACAGCTTATGCACACTTCGACTAATCTTAGGGTCTTGAAGAATAGGTAGGAAAATCCACAGTGGTATTGTAAAACACGAAGAACTGTTACCTATAAAGAAAATCATTAAATATCCAAATTTTATTGTCAGTTGAGTTAACCTACAACGTTAATAACACAAAATTTCATTAGCCACTTCGGTAACTAAAATTTATAAATTCTTATATAATTTTAAATATATTATGTCTGAAAACATGTTAATTTCTTTTTAATATTGGTCACGGAAATTCAAATGCGGTGATTCTGAGCTATCTGCAAAGCAGGTGGTCGTCATGGGATTAGTCGGCTCGCATAGCAGGTTAATATCCAGGTTAATAAAAAAAAAGTAAATTGAGCCACGCTAACGTCATGTCAATAAAATTAATTGGTTGTCTGCTAAAAATGTCATCTGAATACTTAATTATTCGTAAGTTTTACTTCCAGACCTGAAAATGGTTTCCATAAACCCAAAATTGGTTCATTTTTAATGTAATTTTCTCATTATGAAAATATACGTACGCAATTGATGAATCATACTGTTCACGTACGTAACCGTGACGTCTTTATCATTTTTGCCTAACTAGAATTGTACATATAACAAACAACTTATCAATTCTATCATCGTCAAAAGAATTTTAGACGTTATATGATATTACGTAAAACTTCCCGCAATTGAAATGTTTTAATTTTTGCACGACATAGCGCAAGAAAGCGCTATTGGTTTCGTGGAACAATAATGAGTTTGGCGTGCGTAGCTTTCTTATTGAAAACCTACAAAAACCGTTCATCCAGTTACTTTTCTCCATTAATTTTTGTAAATGAAAACTTATATAAATATACGTAGGGGTGAGCATAGGCGGGTACCCGCCCTTTTTGACAGGATCCGGAACCGGAACCGGCGGTTCTTGAGATATTGGAACCGGAACCGGAACCGGTTAGAGAGGTTCTTAAATTTTTGGAACCGGAACCGGAACCGCCGGGAACCGGTTCCGGTTCCGGGTACCCGCTTCCTAAAATATTAAAATTTTATTGTTTAGAAATAAAAAATAAAACATTGCCAAAACACAAAATAAATAAGCAAGAATACAAATTATACAAAATAATTGTTACAAATATTGTTTAACGATTACAAACTATAATAGACTAATAGAAAATATTCAAAGTTTAACGATTACATATTATAATGGTAAATGTTCAAAGTTTAACGATTACATACTATGAATCCAAGTGAATACACAATTTGAAAAAATACGAATCATTTTATATGGAGAATTTAGATGAAGAATGAAAATGACGACGTGTTTTCAAGATGTAAACCTAATATAAATTTGGTATTAAAAAATAATAATTATTTTTTTACTTGAAAAATACCGGGTACCCGGCGGGTAACGGTTCCGAAAAATTGAGAACCGGAACCAGAACCATTCTCAATCGGTTCCGTATTTTAGGAATCGGAACCGGAACCACTCATATCGGTTCCGGTTCCGGAACCGGCAGTTCCAAGGCGGTTCCGGTTCCATAGCCGGGTACCCGGTTCCGCTGCTCACCCTATTATATACGTGTTCTAAAAGGTGGAACGTGGCAACGTTGTTGCAGTAAAATGCATTTGTTACATTTCATTAATCCTCGTGATGTTTGTGTATGGTTGTGCTTAAGGGAATATTGGTTGAAGTAGATTCTTGAATTTTTTTTTTTTAAATTTTGGTTAATATTTAATATTATTATTTTTGTTGGTCCTGGAAATAATGACTTACACAAGATGTGTTTGTAGAACGAGTTGAATACAAACATAACAAATTTTCATTTTCTAATTTCTATATTTTGTATTAAAACAAAGAAATACATATTTATTGCGAAAGTTAGGAAGATAAGACTTGTGATCCTAAACAATATGATTGGTAACAACTAACAAGTTTGCTAGCACTGAAAGAATGAGAAAAGAAGGTACTCTATCAGATTTGAAGGACTAGACAGTTCTTCAGATGTTGACATCGATTTTGCCAAATAAAGTATCACATTGAAGTTCTTTCGGAACGAGGGGAGTAGTAATGTATGATAGAGATGCCCTTTTATATAGCCACCATTGCATTAAATGCTACTGTCCAACTTTAATGTGTGTCTTCATCTTATTTGCTGATCAACTCATGCTTGTAGTATTCATTTCAGCCTTTGTGGTTGATATAGACACTTGTTATCATATCCCATCCTTTTGTATGTCGAGGGGACGGTAAATTAAATATAACACTAATAAAATAGTGTTTAGAACTTACTTTGACTGACATTTTGAACATGTTCCCATACCAAGGTGAGTGTTGGAAGAGTTGGTGAGCCAAACTTGTTGGATAAATTTGCACTCCACAATTCGGCTTGCCAGTAGTAATATTTGTTAAACTACTATTTAACTTTATATTGTATTGATCTTCTTTTTGGCTAGCTGACAAATCATTCCGCTTTGGTGACGATCTTGATCTTACTTCAACTAGTCATCGATTTTATTGAAGGATTTTCGTTCTTGGATCAATACAGATAGTTATAAGATATTTACAAGTAAAAATCATATTTTTTTTCTATTCTGAATATAAGCTATAAATCAGATTTCAGCTATAGAATATTTATGAAGTTAATCTATCAAATTCTAAAATAACCTAGAATGAAATGTGGATTCTTGAAACTCAAGATAGAATGACCAAAGGATATGTCGATCGGATTCTTCAAATCGTATGGATAATAATCAAGATCAAAAGATTTGGTTCACAATTTATCCAAGCTATGGATCCGATGATTGACCAACACCCGAAGCTTTAATCCTAACAACTTAATAAAGTTCGAATGTTAATCCTTTTGGGTTATATCCGATGGATGTTGTTCATCGGATACACTAATTGCAAGACAAGTATTAAGAATTTCTTTGTAAGTGTTTAATCGAATACTAATTATTTACAAACCCGATGGTTGAGACCGACAATTTAATTTTCTTTTCTTTTCATCATATGAATTTAATTATATATATATAGGGTTGGGTTCATGTGAGACCAACCTGTTTTCGTGAGACCTGTAAGACCACATTTTTATACTTGAAACTTCACAACAAAAACACTGTGAAAGTTTAAAAAAGTCGAACCTTCATAGCAAAAGCACTGTGAAGGCTACCTTCACAGCATTTTGCTGTGAAGTTTCAAGTGTAAAAAAGTGGTTTCACGGGTCTCACGAAAACATGCTGGTCTCACGTGATCCCAAAGTATATATATATATATATATATATATATATATATATCGTATATATATAGACTCTTGGTATGCAACAAAACGGTATCATATGCAACAATTTACCCGGTAAGCACTTACCAGGTAAGACTCTTTGTCCTTGTCTCGTTTTTACCGGATAAAATTTTTGGTCCTCACCATATTCATCTAGTAAGGTAATGTGACTTGGTGTTCACTTACCCAAGTAACCGTTTGATAAACGGTCCCTTAGCGTCCTTTAACTTCCATCAAGGTAACCAAAGGGCCTTTGGCCTAGCGGTATCGTAGCCCTTAGCCTTCTAGGAGGTCAGGGGTTCAAACCTCACCATAGGTGAGGAGGATGGGTGTGTGAGTTTATTTGTTGTATTTACCGTATATAAATATTATATATTTCAAAAAAAAAAAAAAAAACTTCCATCAAGGTATGTTAACATATTCATGGTAACTTATGTTAAACATATCATATATGTGACAATATTAACTTATGTGAACTTCCGGTTGCCCTTACAACACAGCCACCGAAGTTCAGGTTTATTACGAAGATGCCATCTCGTCAAATTGACGCAACGGATGGGTTTATGGTTTTTATGAAAAAGAGTTCCTATACGGTCCCGATTTACATACACACACACACACACTTGCCACAAAATGCAATCGCTCCTAAGGGGCAAGGCTTGCTTAGGGTGGTTAATGATACAAGCTTTTAATGAACTACTCGATCTCGAGCTTAATAATTATTGACCTCGAGACGATTTCGAATACGACATGAAGTGTGTTTAATTTAACGAATCGAACTCCATAACACCAATATTCGACCTAACTCGTTCAAAAGCTCAATCAATTTTGTTGAGTTGAGTCGAACCAAGCCATTCGAGGACACAATGATACGCTTTTCTGAACCAAACATTTTTACACGCTTATAAATTATAAATTCAAAATATAAAAAAATATCAGGCTTAAGGTAATAATCAAGTTAACCGATCTCGAGTCTATAAAACTTGAATTTTGGGTCAAATGTATAACTCAAATTTGTTAAACGAACATCAAGCTTGAGCTCGAACATTGAAAAAATATTTGAGTTCAAATTGGATCACTATTTTGAAAAGGTTATTCGAGCTCGATCCTGATATTATTTTATTGTCTCGACCTCAAACAACCTACCATTCCGCTCGACTCATTAACACACTTAGGCTTGACTTCATCGCCAAGACATGAAGCCACATCCTACACCATTTAGAACCTTGACGAATACAGACCTTGACAAAGTAAAATAACTTGACAATTTTATCCTTGAAAACTAGCTACTATATGATTGTTGATAGGGACAAGATGGTCCAAAATTAGAAAAAGGAGTCAAATTACAATCATCACAAATCCAACTTAAGTAAAGCTAAACGAACACATTAAATCTCTCAAAAATTCATTCGGGTAAATCACGCCGCTTGTACTACAACAAATCCTGTACCAATGATAAAGTCAAATCGAACCCAAAGAGAGAGGTTTTAGTTACCTGGTCTTCCATGAGCGGGCAGGGACTATGCGGTTAAAAACAGGAGAATATGTGTGTCGGAGGATGATGGTGATCATCGTGTACGTATTAGCAGCAAAGAACAATAAACTTGCAGCCCAAAGTTGTAAGAAGACTTGCTTGCCTTTAAATTCAAGCATATAACCCCAAAACAGCCAATGAGTTTGAGCTCCCATCCAAAATAATATGCAAAAAATACCTTCCCATTTGAGCTTCATGTTGCTCCATGGTATTATCAGTGGCAAAAGACAGAAGAACCACACAAAGTACTGGGCTGTTATTACCTGTCAAATGTGGCATATCTATGTCATCATAAACAAAATCAAACGAACCCTCTATATCTCACTCGAAAATCGGGTAAGAAGAGGGTGGCATGTACGCAGACCTATCCTCCATCCCAAAGGGTAGAGTAGTTGTTTATGTGAATACCCTAAAAAAACAAAAAAAAAAAAAAAAACAAAAAAAAAGTAGGAAAAGCCCACAACTCTATCTATCATATAGCTTCAGTAACCAGTATATCCTACCCGGAGGTAGGGTCTGGGAGGGGTAGGATGTAGCAAGACTTAATCTCTGTCTCAAGAGACTGTTTCCATTGGGAAAATATCGACAAGATTTTAAGTAGTTGCACAAACAGGTAATATCTGCTTCCATGCTTAAAAAAGTGTTTTGTGATTGCGCAATTGCAAACCAGAACTAGTATATCCCACTCAGAGGTAGGGTCTGAGAGGCGTAAGATGCATGCAGACCTTACTTTTGTCTCGAGAGACAGAGAGGATGTTCTCTAGAAGACCCATATGGAAAATAATTACAGGGTTTATGTAGTTACACATATGGTGTAATTTCCATTTTCCACGTAGGAGTAGCTGCTTGTATTGTCTATAAAGTAAAAGAGCTGCAGGAAGAAATATGGTACCGAACCTTGTTGAATGCTACGAATGCTACTGTCTGGACAAAGAAACAGAAAGGAAGATCTTGTGCAAAACGGAAAATGAGAACAAGCTGCACCGTTAACTGGGGTAGAAACGAGATTAGCTTTTCTGAAATTGAGAAATCTCGTTCGTAATTGAGATATATGTGGTAGAAGTAGATGGAAAAATTGTGTCTGGGATCTGTGCGAGTTAAGTGGTACAACAAGGCCTCGTGCAAGAACTCCCATTCATATAGATAGAAGAATATTCCACTGAAGAAGAAGAAAATGGTTGCTGATATCAGTCCAAACAAGATTCTCGGTCTTGTGAACATGCTTGAGAAGAGAACCCGTAATTGGTGTGAATCAACAAACTTCGCGGTTCTCGAAATCACACGTGATTTGGCTTCTCTTGAATTCCAATCTACGATGACTGGGTTTCTAACAGGATGGAAATGGCAAGGATCAAGAATTATGACAATTGGGAGAGCATAAATTATAGGGTAGATTCTCATATGAACAACAAGCCCATACCAAACGGCCCCTTGAAAAAGATTACCTATAAACCAAAACATAGCATTAGTTTACAAAGAGAGAGAAAATGGGACATTAAACTAAAAATAAGACATTTCAGGAGTAAATGTGAGGCGTGGCGTAGCGGCGAGGTCAAGCCTCAAGCAATTGGAGTCACATCAAGGCCAGAGCATTTTTCAAGGAAACGTTTAAGGTGGAAAATCTCTCCGTGTGTGTATAAGGGACAAATCGAATTGCGAACCACATAAATGTTATGAATCATACACTCATTTTTCATCTGTAGTTTCACAAATGAAACAATACATGTGAAACGCACACTGCTGATATATGAAACATTCAAGATTGTTTCAAATGTGAAAAAAACATGTAACCACTAAATACGTATCATATATGAAACACATCGACACACACACAAAAGACAAAACATGTGAAACAACTTAAATCCTAGCTTAAAATGAAACTCATTGAATGGTTGGGATTGATTCTCATGGGTTTGTAACATTTTTGTGGTCCGCATTTGATTTTCTTCCTTCTCTCTCTCTCTCTCTCTCTATATATATATATATATATACTCTCTCTCTCTCTCTCTCTATATATATATATATAGAGAGAGAGAGAGAGAGAGAGAGTAAGTGCTAACAAAAAGTGTTATATCAAGAGCTCATAACAACACAAAAAGTAAAGGCAAACTAAAAAGAGTCAAATAACGACTTCAGAAAACCTTGCGCAACAATGCGCCTCAAGACGCCAAGGCGCACGCCTCATCTTACACAGCTGCTATGGGGTTGATGTGACGAGGGAGACGCGTCTAGCGCCATGACATGCCTTTTAGAACCCTGCTATATGGGTCATGTGAAGTTACAATATGCACATTGGCTGCTTGCTATTGAAAATTCACGTAATCACTGTTCACCATCTTTCTTCGCAAAGAAATAAGCCCGGAAATGGGATGAACTTATTTCCAAAGCCTTGTTAATACGCGAAGTAAATGGCAAAATATGCATCAAGTTTTAAGCGAGAACTAGAGATTGTACCTCTCATGAGACAAATAATGATCCACAAAATGATGGCACAAACAATGGGCTCACAGTTGCCTCGTGTTCCAATTGTGAAGGTAAATGGATTGAAAAGCCATACAATTACAGAGTAAAAGCATAGGTTCTCAGGCACTCCACGAAGCTTCAGAATTATGCGGATAAAGTACCCCACAAGTAAATCTGGATTTTAAAGATGATATCAAGTTTCACCGGTGCAAGTGCATAGATGGAGAGAACAAAACAATGTCAAGTATGTTCATATAGAGTACAGCAAGTCTTTTCTTTTAAAAACGCTCACTCTTAAAATTAGATAGCCTCTATTTACAAATTTCAGGAACTAAAATCTCTCTATACATCAAAATCAACATCATTTACCCCTAATTATAAACACCAATTTCATCAACAAGAAGTAACATAATCAATGACGCAAAAAATTTCATTTTCGGATGTCCTCATGGCTCATTAATATGCAGTCCTGTTTCTTGGGTGTTCTCTCAATTTGGATTTGACTAATTGACTCTCATGATTATATCACATTCCCTATGTCTCGAAACAGATGTTTTACTTGGCTTAAGAAAAAATATTTGACTACTAATCAAGTCTCTAATATGCCCTATAAATGGACAACACACAAAACTTGAGGACCAAAATTAAAGTTACAAATATTAAGTAAGAGTGAATTACGCTGTTGGTCCATGTGTTTCCGCTGCTTTTTGGTCCCTAAAATTCATTAATTACACCGTGGTCCTTATGTTTTACAAACCAAACAAGTCCCTAGAGTTAACATCATTAGTCGTTAAAATCCTATATCATATATATACACGATTCTATTTCAAACATATAAACCCTTCCATTGTCCCCCAAACCCCCCCACCCCAAGCAGCCACCGTCGCACCCCTTTCCCTCCGGCGAATACTACCGTCACCACCTCTTTCTCCAATGACAACCACAACCGTCGACATTACCTCCCTCACCCACCTCCATTGCTTCGGCGTGACCCACGCACGTCCGTTGCTATGACTTGACCTCCATTTTTTATTTTAGATTAGAATCGGACCCTTTTTTAAACCATCATCGTTGGAATTTCAAGGCCAACGATCATGAAAAAAGATCAAAATCGAAGCAAAAGCCCTATCCTTTAAAAACCCAGTAGAAAAAAGGAAAATATTTATGAAGAAAACAAATTGCTGATAAACATAGAAAACAATGTGTGTTCCTTTCTCTATATAGAAGGATCGAAAAAGAAAGACGGTTTCTTCAATATTGCGTCATCTATGGAGGTTGTGATTATCTAAGAAGAATGAATTTTCTCTCCCTCTCTCTCTATATATAGACATGGGTAAAACTGTTATAAAGAGACAGTTGTAAAACACAAATCGGAAGAAGAAGAGGATTCAAGGTTGTCAAATGCCGTGAACCTGCTTCTGCTGGCATTTTCTTATCGGAGAGAGGAGATGCGGAGTAAGAGGGACAAGTGGTGGTGAGGCTGATGAAACAGTAGTAAAGAGAAAGGATGATGCAGGGGAGAGGGAACAGAAGGGTTGGGGTGGAGTTAGCCAAAACGAGATGCTGGAGAAGGGAGCGAGGGGGTGTCAGGCGTGCCTCCTTTCCTGATCCACTTCTCTGACATCTGCCCTTCGATGAACCCTACACCCTCCCCCTTCTCTGTTCCCTCTCTCCCTGTCTCCGATAAAAAAAACGCTAATAGAATCATACTCACAAAATTTGGCAACCATGAATTTGTCTTACACTGCTCTGTCCCTTCGGATTTTGAGTTTTACAAATGGGTCTGTTTTTATGGGTTTTGTCCATGTTTATATAAAGAGGAAAGAGAGAAACCATTCTTCTTCGATAATCACTAGCTCCATAGGTGACGCAAATATGAAGAAAAACCACTTTCTTTCTTGATCTTTAAATGTAAGAGAAGAACACACACTGATTGCTTTGTCAATCTGCAATTTGCAGCCTTCGCAATACTTATTCCTATTTTCTTCTAGGTTTTATGAGAAATAGAGGTTTTGATTCAATTTTATTGATAAAAGTTTGATCTTTTCTCATGCATAATGGCCTGAAATTCCAATGATGATGGTTCAAAAAAGGGTATGATTCTAATCCAAAATCAGAAATGGAGGTCATGCTAAAGCAATAGAGAGTAGGTAGTTGAGGTCACGCCGGAGTAATGGAGGTGGGTGGGGGAGGTAATGCCGGTGGTTGTTGTTGTTGTTGTCATCGGAGAAGGAGGTGGTGATGGTGGTGTTCACCGAAGGAAGAGGGGAGGGGTGTGGCAGTTGGTGTGGCAACTTAGGGTGGAGTCAGGGACAAATGGAATCGTGATTCGTGTATATATAATATCAAAATATAGTACATGGAGAAAAACACAAAAAGACCAAAAAAATAAGGTAAAAAGACAAAAATGCCCCTCATGTGAGAGGCACATGACTGACTTAACAGCCACGTGACTAACGGTGTTAACTCGATTTGTTTGCTATGTGAAACATGAAATAAGGATCAGTAGTGTAATTAATATAAGGACCAGTAGTGTAATTAATGAATTTTAGGGACCAAAAAAAGCAGCCAAAGCACACAGGCCAACGGTGTAATGACTAATAATAATTAGTAGTCATTAAGTAATGACTACTAATAAGCGAAAAAGTACATTTGGATCTAGAACTTCCCATTAAAAAGTGCTAAATGTTTGAGATGGAGGAAGGAACAAAAGTAGTAGTTGGTATGATGCACTAGTAGGTTTATCACTATTTGCTGGAAAATTCAGAACTTGATCAAACTGACAGAATTCCATCGAAGTGATGAAATATCTTTCCTCCTCACTCCTTTATCTTGTGACATCAATCAAGATAATACATATAAGGTCAAGAATGGTAATAAGCTGGTAGTCAAACACTTCAACAGGAATAGTTAATTCTGCATTTTAAATGGGCCAAATATCTGCTCTTTTTCCATGAAAACAGGCATCTACTCTGAAACAAATTGTTTACCTGAAGCAGAGAAAAGGAACTTTCCCCATGACGGATGAATAAAGGAATTCGGTGCGAGAAGAAATGCAATCAAAGGAGAGTAGCGATATGTGGATCTTTTGTAAGGGGATTTTCCAGCAACTACTAAAGATGCAGCATCAGAGAAAACAAGGTAATCAACGTCTGTATACCTAACCTCCATATGAGTATCTTGCCATTCTCCGTAGACAATTAAGAAGACACGTAGAAAGGCAGAAAAAATGATAAGAGAACGAAAATTCAAAAATTTCATTGCTCCAAGCTGCAGGAAAAGAACATATACAATTAGCAATCATCTTGGATCTCAGCTATAATTCATTTTGTAAGAAAATGAAGGCATACAGATTATTAATCCTTCAATTGGCTAAACGTGTTTTAAAAGATTTGTATTATATTGTGTCAATTGAAGGGAATTCATTGTTAGTTTGAGAACTTAATAGGCTAACTGGCGGATTGATAATCTGAAATCCAGAAACTCCATTCATTCAGACACCACCTGGTAATCTGTAATGGTAAATACTACTCCAACCTTCCAAACAAGAGATACAATTCAACTTCAAGCCATCAAGCCAGTCACTTCCAGCTTAAAAATTCTTGTGGATTCTTAACTTCCCATAAAAGAATTGATCACTAGATTGAACTTTATAAGAAAAGGCAGAAATTGAAAATATTGGTGATAAATTAGTTATCAACTAACAAGTATTGGTAAACATTGTACTTTAAATTACCAGGAAAAATGCCATGAAGTACAATATTTTCAATTTGTAACATAGGGATAATTAGTTTGTGCCTTCAATAATTATTAGAAATTCTTGCATACACAACCATGCTTTACCTAGACTTCATTTTGAACGTAATTTCTTTCCAGCCCAACACCAAGGGTGGGAAAGGAAACAAAAAAAGTGTTTCCAATTTGCTACTGCCTACTCACATCTATATGCAGGCATTGTATCAAACAAATGGTATGCACACCTCCATAGTTTTATTCATCACAGAAATCACACGTGATCCATCCACATAATATAAGATCAAAATCATAAGCTTATATATAATGAACAAATTCAAGAAACAGGAAGAATGATTTCATCAAATCACCTGGGTGTACACATTTGTGACGAATCTGACCTGTTTAAAGATCCGTGCAACGTTGCAACATCAATTTCTTTGTCATAAACATCTGGAGAAGCATAACTCAAATTAATCAAAGAAATTTGAAGAAGTTTGTAGCTACGGACTACAATCAGCTGAGTTTTGGAGAACATGAAACCATTGAATATTATAATTTTGAGAAACAAAAAATTTAGGGGCTGTTTGATAGATCTTGAATGATTTGGTGCAGAATGATTAAGAGTATCTTTATGATTTAGTGCAGAATGAAAAATGGTCGTTAGATAAGTGTTCCGAATCAACGGTCTCATTGTCTCAATGACAGAAACCATTTTAACACTCACATGATTCATTGTTAAATGAAATTTAAATTTTTTGACAAGTATTCTAAATTAATATATCACCATGTAAATATAAATTATCATATCTCACCTTGCAAACATAAATTACAAAAGTAACATCAAATAACATTAATCAAATCATATCACATGATATCCTTCCAAACAGCATAACATCAGTTGCTCAAGTTCTAGATTAAACAAAAACATAACAATCAAATTCAACATAATACTTTCAGTACAATTCTTAATTTGAAGCATTTAACAATAAGTGATTTGCAATCTTATCACATAATTTGGAATAAATTATGTTTTGATACAAATAGCAGGAAGATTTTCAATGGTTTTCTAGTGATTTATGCAAGGGCAACAATGAGCATGTTTTAACAAGAGATTGACACAGTTCACTTTACTTTAACCATGACATTGTTATGAGTTAATAATTCAACTAAAAGATGCAGAAGACCAAGAAAAGGCATAGTAAGATAAATCAACAACCTGGGAATTTGAGAATGTCTAAATCTGGTGATATATATTATATACATGCCATCACAAAGTCTACCACCTAAATTGAGAACTTCCCTAGTTGAAAACTCTGCACCTTGTTGTTGAATCTATGTCTCAAATTACAAATCTTTGGAGTTCTTCTCTATGTACCTACAATGTTGCCAAGTTTTTTTCAACTTAAATGATGAAAACTGGCAGCAATTGCATCAAATGAGATTTTTCATGACACCCACACAAACACAAACACAAACCCAAACCCGAACCCGAACCCAAACCTAAGTACCTTACGAGTTGAGCTTTCATAAACACGAGTGTCTTCCCTAAAACATATTTTCGTCCTTCAATAACCTATCGAATAATTAACAGCTATTTCTAACTTGACTTTTCTAATTAACAACTTTTATCGAATACTTGGTGTTCATAAAAAAACAAAGTAATTTGGCACCACAAATCGAGTAAAAGAGCAGTGGAATCAAATAAATTTACGACAAAATGTTTAAGGACGGAACATACCAGTAGTGAAATTGGAATCGAAGAAATCAAACACACCAGTAGCCGAATCTGGAGTTCACAACAATCCGTGGGAGAGACCGGATTCAAACTTCGTTGCTAAGTTCTTCAGTCACCTGAGGCAGGAATGAGAGCTTTTGTTCACTCTCAGTCATTCCTTAGAAATTGAGCGATTCAGAAAAGGTTGGAATGATTCAGAGACACTTCAATACAAACAAGCAAGTTTCACCTCTGATTTCTAAACACCATCATTCAGATGTAATAGAGGGCCTTATATTTTAAAACATTACACATTGCCCCCCTATACTTTTAAAAATAGTCGAGAATAGCCGAAATTGAAATCCAATAAAATGTGTACAAAATTGCCGCGAAGTAAAGCACGGCGAGTTCAACCACATATCAAATGGGTCACCGGATTTCACCTCCTCTGCCATTAACAACACGCTTGCCCCTTCTTCACAATTCTTCTTGTTTCATTAACAATCTCGCCCTACTTTCATCACCAGTGACACACAAATCAATTTGCTCACCACCAACAAGATCGTTGTTATCTTACTACAAACGCTCGAGCTATGGAACTGAGAAGAACACGAGATTGTGTAGACCCAGGGTTTCTTTCTTTCAGTTATTTTCGACCAAAAGTGATGGCTGTGAGAGTCTTAAGAAGGAGCTACTTGATACTATAGCCCCACTCGATCGCGGTGCCGATGCTAACCCTGAACAACAGGATCGCGTTGATCAGGTTTGGACTTTGTAGTTCGTAATCCTGTTTGTTGAAGTCAGTTGAATGGAATGGGTTTGGGCTATTGATTTCGCTTATCTAGTGGTAGGTTTTTGCTAATGTTTTGAATGGAATCCGAATCGTTGAATGGGGTTTTAAGAGGGACAAATGCTTTAATGAAATTGTGGAAATTAACTGCTGAAAATTAATATACTTATAGGGTGACATTCGGTTCTGAAATTGAAGATGAATGTAACTTTTGTCTTCAAATGGGCCATAATAGAATCTGATCTGCCCTCGGGCGTGGAAGGGCCGTTTACCCAAATAGGTTATATGTAAGATTCAACACTATCACTTACCTTACCAGTTAAGATTTTAGTCCATCAAAACGGCATTGTGTGCAACAATTTACTCAGGAAGGTAAGAGTCTTCACACTCACTTACCGGCTAAACTTTCGGTCCTTGTCATCGCTCTTACTTGTTATCACTCTTACCGGTAAGAATCTCGGTCCTTGCTATATTAATCCGATAAGGTAACGTGACTAATAGGAATGATTCAAATGAATCCTAGTTTATAGGATGAGATTGTGTATATCCTGTGATTTTGGAAGTTCGTTATATTTTTTACCTTATATATTACTTAATACACATCTCACATAATTAAGGTGAGAATTCTCAAAACCTAATATGGTATCAGCCTAATCTCCTTTCCGCCCTCTTCTCCTCTTCTCCATCACCATGGCCGACGACTCCAATGCCATTGATTCCCCTCTTCCTCTTTCAACCATTTTTCATATGCTTACAATAAAACTTTCATCCACCAATTATCTTCTATGGCACAAACAAATGATCCCTCTCCTAGCCTATCAGAAACTTACTGGGTATGTCGATGCTCTATTCCACAGCCGCCGCCAACTCTTACTACCGGTGGAACATCTTCACCGAACATCTTCAGCTTCGAGTTTGTCTAGGAGCCAACACATCCATATGATTTCGCTTACTGTTGCAGCCATCGCTTGATATTCTGTTTCAGCTAACGATCGAGAGACCACTGAATGTTTCTTTGATTTCCACGAGACAGGTACTCCTCCCAAAAGTAAAACATATCCTGTTCGAGAGCTGCGAGTGAAGGGACAACCTAGCCAATCTGCATCGCAGTACGTAACAAGGTTCATTCCCCTTTGCTTAGGAAAGAGCAATCCCTTTCCAGCCGTTGCCTTTAGGTACCTCAAGACTCTTGTGGCAGCATCCAAGTGATCTCGTCGAGGATCCGATACAAATTGGCTTAGGACATTTACAGCATATGTGAGATCTGGTCTTTTTTTTATTAACCTGGATATCCAACCCGCTATGTGATCCGACTAATCCCAGGGCGACCACCTGCTTTGCAGATAGCCCGGAGTCACCGCATTTAAACCTCCATGGCCACAAGGGGATTTTTATTCCTCCTTGGATTTGAACCTGGGATCTCCTGGTATTTTTGACCTTTGGAGTCAAGCTCAAACCAATCGGGCACCACCCTTGTGGTTGAGATATGGTCTTGTAGCTTGGAGATACAAAAGTTTACCCACCAGCCTTCGATATATGCTTGCATCCACACGTGGTTCTTCACTGTCTTTGTCAAGCTTTAAATTATGCTCCATTGGAAAGAAACACAGTCGACATCCCATCATCCCAATCACCTCTAGGATGTCTAGGATGTACTTTCTTTGATTAAGCACTAAGCCATCCTTTGTACGAGCCACTTCTATTCCAAGGAAATATTTTAGAGTTCCGAGATCTTTAATGCTAAATCTTTTGTGTAGGAAGGCTTTAATTTCTTTGATCTTGTTTGCATCATTCCTCACAACGATCACATCATCAACATATACAAGAGTTGCAATGAAAAATCTATCTTGTTTGTATATGAAGAGTGAATGATCCGCATGAGATTGTTCGAATTTGAGTTCGGTGAGCACTGATGTGAGTTTTTGGTACCAATTTCTCGAAGCCTGCTTTAATCCATAAAGAGACTTCTTTAGCTTGCATACTTTGGTTGCTCCCCCTTTTCTCGTAACCTTCCGGTATCTTCATGAAGACTTCTTCATCTAAGTCACCATGCAACAACGCATTGTTAACGTCTAACTGGTGAATGATCCAATCTCTTTTGATGGCTATAGCAAGTAGTGTTCTAACGGTCACCAACTTCGCTACCAGGGCAAACATGTCATGATACTCAACCCCTTCCATTTGAGTGAAGCCCTTTGCGACGAGTCTAGTCTTATATCTTTCTATCTCACCGTTCGGTTTGTATTTAATTTTGTAAATCCATTTCGAATCAATAGCACGTTTTCCACTTGGCAAGTCTTCAATGGACCACGTTTCGTTTTCTTCTAAAGCTCGTATTTCCCTTTGCATCGCATCTCTCCAATTTTGATCTTGCACAACTTGGTTGAAGGTTTTGGGCTCATCATTTGAAGTGATGGCCTCCAAGAAAGCTTTGTGAGATTTCGAGAATTTTTCATAAGAAACAAAATTGGCCAAAGGGTATACCGTAGTGGTTTCTTGACTTGGAGCGGGTTGTGCATGGTCTAGAGACGGAGGGAGCTTGACTTCATAATCTTCCAAATGTTTGGGTCTTGATTTGTTCCTTCTTTATCTGCCTTGGTTGACATCAGTATTTTCAACATTAACTTCCTCATTTTGATTGGTTTTATGATCTTCGAACTGAATGTCAACGTTGGCCTCTTCCATGGGTTTCCCTTCCTGATCGTTAGTGGAAATGTTTGAAGGTTCATCCGGGTTTGAACCCTCTCCATCAGTAGGTTCATTGTTCTTTTCACTTTCTTTGTCTGGCTCATCTTCCGCATCATAGGGAACATCGATCACATCGTTGTTTTCTCTTTCATTCTGCTTGGTATTGGCGCTGAAAGGGAAGACATTTTCTGCGAACTTTACGTCACTTGACACAATATTTTTTTTTTGATTAACCTGGATATCCAACCCGTTATGCGAGCCGACTAATCCCAGGATAATTTTATTGTGGCTTGGGTCGTATATCTTGTAGCTATCAATCATTGTTATTGTTATAACAATTGTTTTTGGTTCCATGAGGATAGCCCACAAAGACTCCCAACCTTCCCTTTATTTCAAACTTATCACCCTTCATTATCGTACTGTGATAATCTTAAGAATGATGGTGAGAGATATTCATTTATTTTTTCTATCAATACATCGAACACATCCATCGAATTAAAACAAAGATCGAAACTACAAATATGGAAACACAATAAGAAGAATACGTAAATTACAGAGAACCAATAAGGCAATGATTGGGCATGATCAATGGAGGCAATAATGATTGAAAATAGGAGATTCTAATACTCCCCCTCAAGTTGGAGCGTGTAGGTTTCTAATGCCCAACTTGTCAAGTAAGAACTTAAGTTGTTGAGTCCCCAATTCTTTTGGGAGCAGGTTTGCAATTTGCACGCTAGTGTGAATACGTAGGGGCTATACTTCTTGAGACTCGACTCTCTCCCGAACGAAATAGCAATCCATCTCTACATGCTTGGTTCGTTCGTGGAAAACAGGGTTATTAGCGATGTGTCTGGCCGCCTGATTGTCACAAAAAAGAGGAGTTGGTTCAGTCAAGTCGATGTTTAGCTCCTTGAGAAGCCACCGCATCCATAAAATTTCGCTAACCATGGAGGCCATGTATTCTGCTTCCGCAGAGGAACGTGATACCACATTTTGTTTCTTTGTCTTCCATGAAATGGGTGCTCCTCCAAGAAGGAGAAGATATCCCGTTCTAGATCTCCTGGTAATAGGGCAGCCAAGCCAATTAAAGTCGCAGTATGCGGTGAGATTACAACCACCATCTCGAGGTAAAAGAATTTCTTGCCCAGTTGTTCCCTTTAGGTACCGTAACACTCGGTGTGCTGCATCCATGTGACTCTGTCTTGGGTCAGCCACAAATTGGCTTAGCACATTTACCGAGTAAGCAATGTCGGGTCTAGTGGTTTGTAAGTAGAGGAGACGGCCTACCAAGCGGCGGTATCGACTAGCACCAACTTTGGATTCTTCATCCTTTTTATCTAATATCAAATTCTGCTCGAAAGGAAACGGGCTTGGTTTACACCCTTGAAGCCCACAATCTTCAAGGATATCCAGAATATACTTTCTTTGGCTTAGAACGAGGTCTTCAAGAGTACGAGCAACTTCTATACCAAGAAAGTATTTTAGAGCGCCCAAATCTTTGATGCTAAAAACGTTTGTCAAGTTCCTCTTTAGTGTGTTGTATTTTTTTTTACGTCATTCCCCACCATGTTGACATCGTCCACATAGATGAGTGCTGCTACGAAACACGCATCCTTCTTGAAGATGTAAAGGGAGTAATTTGCTTTGCACTGAAGAGATGATGTAAACTTTTGGTACCAATTTCGGGATGCCTGTTTCAGACCATAGAGATATTTATTCAACATGCAAACTCTCGTGTCATTTTCTTTAGCAAAACCTTGTGGCAACTTCATGTAAACTTCTTCGTTTAGATCCCCATGTAGCAAGGCATTATTGACATATAGTTGGTTGATGATCCATCTTTTCTTGACAGCTATGGCTAGAAGTGTTCTAACAGTAACCAACTTTGCGACCGGGGCGAATGTGTCGTGGTAATTGTTAGAAATTAATGACAAATTAGATAAATTAATATATTTATCTGTTCATTTTAAGGTTGTTAGTTGGGTCAGTAACTTGGGCCGCAGGCCATCAAGTTGTGTCAAATAGAAGTCCATTAAATAGCAGTTATGAGTCAGTTATTATGCATCGGTTACAAGAGTCATGTTTGTTTGCTTGGTACGGATTCTGTTTGTATATATGTATATCGTCTATACTCTGGTTTCAGACACAATCAATAGAATTTTTCAGTTTACATAAAGTGTTGTTTGCTGTGATTGTGTTCCAATGGAGATGAAGAATGATTCATCTCCAACAAAGTGGTATCAGAGCATTAGGCTCGATCAAGGGAAGAAGAGATTGAATCATAA